GACCTGGCTCTGTAAATTATTTTTAGTAAGCAGTTTTGCAAGATTCTAATTCTAGTATCTCATGAGTGGTGCTATTTGTTCATTGTATATTGTCAATTCTTATGCCTTGTACTGAACTCTGCATTTAATGTAGTTTTTCTTTGGAAAGATGTTTAATTTTGAGGTGTATTGTACAATTTAACTCCCCAAATAAAGCCCACCTAGGGAATTACCAATGGCTTGAATTCTTTTTTTCCTTGCTGGTTTGAAAGCAAATACCTCTAAATTAAACCAGATTTAATTTATTTAGAGCAAGGAAAATATCCCACTAAGTAATGATGCTTGTTTTTATTTCTTTGCTTCAATTTGTGGATGTGGCTTCTTAAAATAAGGACAGTGAAGTAATACATTCCATAGTCTGCACTCCTCAAATAACTTTAAACTTTTCTTTGTATTTGGTAAATTCTGAGTTGGAATTTTGTTGTTTTTTTCTTTTGAGGAGGGCATGGGGAAGAACTCTGTTAATCCTAAGTACATACTGCCACATAACAATCTCTTTATTAAGGTAGTTGTTTTTCAGATATAAATAGATTTCTAATTTAAGATTAGGTCTAAGATTTAGTAAGCAACATGCTAAGGAAAACTCATTTGTATAATCTTAGATATTAAACCCCTACTTTGTTGTTTGTGTTGGTATATTACTGTAATATCCGTCAAAAGGTGAATTGCAAATAACAAATAGAGTCTCTTTAAACTTGTGTTGAAAGCTGAAAACTTTTATGTTAACATTCCTTATTAAGCCTATGTGTAAGTAAAGCATTAGTGTCTAAATATTGGCTCTTATTTTACTCAAATCATTGGAAAGTTAATTTAAAAGCTGAGGTGGCCATGATCAAGTAAAAGTGTAACCTCTTCATGCTTTCTATATTTCTATGTATCCAGTATAGTACGCTAAGGTATGCCTTGATGGATTTAAGTGTGATACACAAAGAAAAAGCACATAGCTACTCAGATAAAATATTTATGTCTGTGTTAATATGGCTTCCTTGGTAAATTTCTGTTAGGAACAGAATTCACAGTTGAGTTTAGTTAGAAAAAGAGGGAATGAAAGTCAAGATAATCAGAGCAAAGAAATGGAAGATGACTGGAGATGGTACAGTTTTTAGTCATAAACACAAATAGTTTTGTACATACAGAAATTTGAAGGGGGAAGAAGTATGGTTATTGTTGACTTGAGAAAATGTGGAAAATAGGAGAAAGCCTAAATGCTATAAAGATGTTTTTATTTTTAAATTTAATGACACAGATTGTAGATTGCTTGTAATCTGGTGGACCTAGGGGAAGGTGGACTTGTATGTGATAGAGCGTATCTGTAATCCTAGCACTCAGAGTGAGGCAGGGGATTGTGAGTTAGATGTCAGCCTGGGCTATGTTAGTGAATGAGACCAAACCAGAGAACATGTATCTAGTGTTGAAATTTTATCAGGTAGTTAATAAGGCATGCCAGTATTTTGATATCCGTTCTCTCAAAATGTGTGATTTATGAAATTACAGTCATCTTGACTCAAATTAGTCAGTGGTAAGGAATGTCAGCAGATTAACATCAAGTCTGAAGGGCTACATATGTAGTAGAAAATAAACAAGAAAAAAAATTTTGCTGTGTAAATGAACAGTTTTCGAGAGGGAATGGTAGAAACATGCCAAAGCTCCACCAGCAACATGTCCACAGTGTGTTAAGTTTGCTAAGGCATTAGTGATCTTCTTTAGTCTTCATACTGTCATCTGTTATAGAATGTCATGTGTGGTTTTATACTTTTAAAGAAACTTCAGCAAATTTGGAATGTTTCTAAATAAGTGGAAGGACATGAAAAATGTGATGGGTAGTTTACAGGGTGCTTATGATATCATAGAACTTTGCTGTGTATTTATGAGATTGCTCAGTGGCAGTGAGTGGCTGATGTTTTAGGAGTGGGTTTCAGCTCAGAAAAACAATTTTAATGTTTAGAACTCCAGAGATTTTTATTTTAACTGTCTTTATTAATCATAGGAAGATAAATGACCATTTTAGGAATTATTGTAGTAGATTTTTTTTTTTTTTTTTTCAAGACAGGGTTTCTCTGTGGCTTTGGAGGCTGTCCTGGAATTAGCTCTTGTAGACCAGGCTGGTCTTGAACTCACAGAGATAGATCCACCTGCCTCTGCCTCCCAAGTGCTGGGATTAAAGGCATGCACCACCAACTCCCCGGGTTTGTAGAAATTTTTAAATACTAATGGTTCAGAATTTTGATCCCTCTGAACTATGGCTGTAGCTTCAATGTCATGTGGATGTATTGGAACATTTCAGCATTATTCATGTAATCGACAGAAGAGAATGTGTGCAATACAGTTGTTATGAGTCATTCTATTGCTTTATAAAGAAACACATACATGTCTGTGAGTCCACTTTGAGGACTCCCATTGCATATTTCTGTGAGGATCTGTTAGGAAACTGCTAGCAGAATCTGTAATTGCTAGGATTTAGGGAATGAAAAGTTTTGAGCATGGGGTTTGGGAAAAAAAATACTAAGTGGAATTCTAAATAATTGGATTCAATTGAGCAATTCAGTGAGTTGTAATACATGAGGTACCAGTACAGAGATTAAATTGGAGACACCCCAAATTATGAAGAGTTACTGTTAGAACTGGAATCAGAGCTTCTTCTGACTGGAGCTGTACAAATATATCCCAAATTGCTGATGCTTTTCTGGCTAGAATGGTAGTGTTCACCTGCATAGATTCACCGATGGGTTAGTTCATAATCTGGAGGACTATCTGTGTTTTAGCTAATTTTTTTACATTCTTATCAGCATTGTATTTTACATAGTTTGTATACTATTATTAAAGTGATAAATCTTTAAGATTGAAAAGTCAGGGTGCAACACTTTTTTTAGACTTAAGATCTTTGGAAGCTTAGAACCCATGACTTGTGCAGCTTTAATTTGGGACTTAGTCTGTTCTCCCCTTCATTTTCCCACCCATATATTCAACTTACCTAGTCCTTATTGAAGACCCACTATGTTCCAGGCAGTATTCTAGGAACTAGAGACACAGTGGGTGGCCAAAACTCTAGAACTTTTAGTTACTGATCAAACAATTGCTCAGTTATATATAGAAATACAAGTTAAGAGGTTCTGTCCTCCTCTGAGCTCCTGGGGCACCAAGCATACATACCATATACTAAAATAAATGCAGACAAAACACCAATACACATAATCATGTTTTTAAATGGAAAATTTAATCGATTTAAATACTCTGTGTGGGTACTGGAGCTATTCTTTCTTAACCACTAAACTATCTAGCCCAGTGGTTCTCAACCTTCCTGATGCTGTGACCCTTTAATACAGTTCCTCATGCTGTCATGACCCTTAGCCATAAAATATTTTGTTGCTACTTCATAACTGTAATTTTGCTATTGTTATGAATTGTAATGTAATTATCTGATATCCAGGATATCTAATGCATAGCCCATGGGTTGAGAACCACTACATGCAGTTTTTAGAAAGGCTGTTATTAGTGGATTTTTATACTAGTGGTATGCTCATAGCATCACAAGAATTGGCTAGTTTGTGAAGAAATTGAAATGATAATAAATTAATACAATACAACAAATATTTTCATCTAGAGATTTGAGCTAAAAATTTATGTGTAATTTTAATTTTAACTTACTTAAATATTTGAAGTATAAAAATAACTTTTAGAGGGGCTGGCAAGATAGCTCAATCTTCTTTTAGCCTAATCCAATATATTGTTTGATTCTGTTTGGTCATCAAAAGAGAAAAATGTGCAGTTCTTTGAATGGTTATTTATGATTTTATAGCTGTTTAGAACACTTGGATTATACCCTTTTCTTGGGATTTTACTGAACAAATCTGAGTTAAGTAGTTAGAAGCATAATGCATTCATATTTGACAGTTCCTTAATATGAATACTTTTAAATTGTACATTTGGAATGTAATAGGTATATTTACTGGAATGAATGTTTTTTTTTTTCTTTCTTCCTTTTCCCCAAGTAGGTATTGCTCTATAGAATGGAGAGACAGTTATATAGGTGTCCAGCTAGCCTTAGAATGGAATACCATACTGTAATGATAATATGTTTCAGTGTACAGGCCTATCTGCTGATACATATTGAAGCCCATTACATACTTTATGAAGATGCCATTTTACTTTATAGGATTTGATTCATTAAAATATAATTTTCATAATTGTAAAAAATATACCTGAGAATTATAATAACTTTATATTACTATTAATTTTGGTTATCTTTGCTATTTTAAATTTATACCTGTTACTCTGGTGTGGTTTGTTTTCTATTGTCTTGGAAACTCCTACCTTAGTGGTCTAGTCCAAGGCACCATCCTTTGAATTACCAGTTTTTCGTAGCATCTGTTCACCTTGGCATATTGAACACTTGTTTTCCCTAGTTGTTTGTACCTCCTTTTGTATTGTTTAGGTACTGCTTTCCTTCCCTGGAAGGGTTCATTTAGTTCTGTTAGTCTCTCTTTTATTTTTCAGTGCTTTAGCTGCTAAGTTTGTACGCGTCACTCAGACTTTGGCTAAACGTGGTATGTGTTGTCTGCTGAGCATCTTGAGTGTGTTAAAGGTAGTAAAAATATCCAATAAAGTGGTGTCCAGTTTAAATCTTACTGAAGCAGATTATTTATGAGGTATAATAGAGCTGTTGGTATTTTGTTTTATGTGTCCTTATGAAAATTAACTAAAGCTATCATTTAAAATGACTGGCTTCATTTTTAAAGCATGAACATTTTAGGTAAACTAAAAATCTATATGATTATGGCTCAGATAGTTTTAATAAGATGTGTAATTTGGTTGGTGTAGATTTGTGTTAGAAATGAAGGCTGTCATTTTGTAAATAGGCTTAATCCAGAGAATGACAGGATAGATCAACAGTTGTTCACTGGAGTGTTAACATTTTATCAGTGAAACAACCCCCACCCCCTTCCTGGATTAGCAAGAATATTTTTTTGTCTAACACTAAAAATTTTTACTTTTAACAGAAATTAGCAGAGTGCGGAAAGACATGTACAATGACACATTAAATGGCAGTACAGAGAAAAGGAGTGCAGAATTGCCTGATGCTGTGGGACCCATTGTTCAGTTACAAGAGAAACTTTATGTGCCTGTAAAAGAATATCCAGATGTAAGTATACTTGTTGTTTTGCTCATTTTTTCTGCTTCATACAATATGCAATAAGATAACTTTTATATTATCAGCTGCTTTAAAAGAGTTATGTATGAAATTGGAAATGGGAATAATTTTATGTGGCTAATTAAATCTTTTTCTCTTTAAAGTATATTTCCATTTGGTTTTTGCTATGTCACTTTGGGAATTATTCATGATGAAGACATGGAACTTCAAACTGAGGTCAAGAATTCTGGGAAGACTTTTGTCTTGAGTGTTAAGATCAATTGTATCAAGTGTAACTCTGATACAGTGGTCTTTTGTCTGACCACAGACAGTCCACAGCTTGGACCATGTTATTCTTTTGTAAAATGAGAGTACTGGATTTAATCGTTGCTTCCAATTCTTTAAAGTTTCTTTGAAAAGGACTGTTTTCAATCTGATTCCTCCTTTCCCCCAGTCTTTCTTAGTCAGTTGCTCAACCAGTCTCTAGTATTGTTTTAGAAATAGTCTTCTTCTTTACCAGCTGATTTTGAAGTACCTCCAGGCTCTTACTTTTGTTATAAAACCCTATGTGTTAAGATTGATTCTCTTTCTCTCTCTGTCCTCATCTTAAGTGATTTTCCCACTTGTCTCCAGCGTAGCGTAATCACGTTGGCCTTTCTTTGACTTCGAAAATAAGTCAAATCTATTCCCAGCTTCATGATCTCTGTGTCATTTATACACTGTTCACTGTGACTGGCTGTTGCTTTTCCTTAAGTGTGGCTGAGTTTAAATACTCCTTTAGTGAGGCTTTCCCTGACCAGTTACTCTAAAAGCCATCTGGTCTGTCCCCTCCCTTAACCTCAACCTCCCATGTTCCACCTCTATAGTACTGTTATATAGTGTTTTAGTTTTCTTACTCCCTAGCACAGCAGGGGTGGAGGGCTGCCAGATGACTTTCTCGGGGTCACATCAGATATCCTACCTGTCAGGTATTTATGATTCCTAACAGTAGCAGAATTACAGTTATGAAGTAGCTATGAAAATAATTTTATGCTTGGGGGGCACTACAACATGAGGAACTGTATTAAAGGATTGCAACATTAGGAAGGTTGAGAAACACCGCCCTAGCAGAATATATTGTACATAAGCAAGAACCTTGTCTTTGTTAATTCACTGCCTTAATTTTACTAATCACTGTGTAATACTGACACATAGTAGCCATCCATTACTTACTGAGTATGTAAAGGAAAAATAGTGGCTGTTAGATATGAAAATATTTATTGGAAAACAAATGAAAGAATGACTCTAATGTTAAAAAGAGGTTTTAGACCCATTGGCTGTTACTCAGACAATGTTAGTTTATAGATGGAGTATAAATATCTTATATTGGATTAATGGGAGGTAGTGTTTTTGGTATGTTACAACTTGAGTTTTTTAGTGCACCATTCTTTAGTTTATACATTTACTCTTTTTGTAACTAGTTTTGTTTGCAAATACACAAACAGTTCAGGATAATCCCACTAAAAGAAGACTTTGTTGGATAATTGAAAGGCATTGCAGGATATTATGTAAGGTGAGAACCCAGGACACCTGGGAAAGAATTTTAGTGGCAGGATTTTGTCTCTGGAGAGCCTTGCTGTTAGATGCTGAAGACATCCAAAGAGTCTGTGGCCTCTTTAGTAATGTGCATATTTAGATGAATGTATACATAGGTATGTGCACAATAAGAATTACATCTTTATTTTGCAGGTTGTAGAACATCGTTCATGCTTTTCAGGGCTGGATGATAGTTTAATTGTGTATTATCAATTCAGAGAGAATGCTGCTTCATATAAATACATAGAACAAAAGATAGAAGAATTTAGGACCTTTTGATAAATTATTAGAAATCCTGTCCCAATTTCAAACCAGAATTCGTTTGTCAGTTAAAAATTTTGTTAAAAATACATTTTTTATTTGAGAGTGTTTTGATTGTATGCATGTGTGTATACCCCATGCATTCAGTGCCTCTGGAGGCCACAAGAGGCCATTAGATCCTTTGGAAGTGGAGTTTTAACTGGTTGCAAGTCACTATATGGGTTCTGGGAATTAAACCTGGGTTCTCTGGAAGGGCAGCCAGTGCTTTTAATTGCTGATTGATCATCTCTCTAGGCCTCCCTCCCTCTCTCTCTCTCTCTCTCTCTCTCTCTCTCTCTCTCTCTCTCACTCTGTTTTAAATAACCCTCAGGTAAGCGACTCTAGGAAGCAGTTTCTAAAATCAAACATTCTAAGACAATACAATATAAAGATAGAATTGAGTCTTACATACTGAGGAGTGACACTAGGAAAATAATTGTCTTTGTTTTGCTTAATGAAATCATGATGTTTCTGTAAGAGCAACAAACTTTGTTTATATAGCAAAACACTGCAGTTCCTAACTATCGGTTTTAATTTTCCCTTAGGTCGTTTATGCAGTGTTCATTAGCATTGCATGAACTAATGGCATGCACAGTACAAAATGTGTGTGTTCTGTCTTTAGAACCAAGGCTGGGTGTTATGATAAATCTTTCCGCCCAAAGCCACCTGAGCCCCACTGCCACGTGTGAGCTTTATGCCAGCCGCTCACCCAAGTTAGGCCCAAATGAATACACAGAAACTTGTATTAGGTTCAAAGCTGCTTGGCCAATGACTAGGATTTCTCATCTGTTAGCTCAGTCTTAATTATTATAAATCTATATATTTTATAAGACTTATCTTATTGGCGTCCCTCCTTGCTGGTGGATCACATTGTGCTGCTGGAGGAGCAAGGGGAAAAAGGGACCCTTCATGTTTCTCCTTCGCTTAAATATGAGTCTCCTTGCTATGTCACTTCCTGCCTGGATCACCACTTCTCTACTACATTTCCCAAAATCCTCTTTGACTCCTAGTCCCATCTAACTTGCTGTCTCATTGGCCAAACAGTATTTTATTTAACAATCAATAAGATAAACATACACAGAAGTACTTCCCCCATCAGCTGGGAACATGGCTCATAGAGTAAAGTGCTTCCTGTACAAACACTAGGACCTGACTTAGGAACCCCCCCTCAGCACTGTGGCACATGGGTGGCTGCACATTAGGATCCCAGGGACTTGTTGACCACCCAGTGTAGCTGAAAGCACAAGTTTCAGGTTCAGTGAGAGATGACTGAGGAAGATAACCAGTATCAACCTGTGACCTGAGTACATAGACAGGCACACACAATTGTACACGTTTCATTTAACTACATATAGCAATACAGAATAAAAATAAAATGATGTTATTACTTGTTTTTTTCTTTTACCTAAAGTTATGAAATGTTTCATATTACATAGTAGTCTGAGGTTGTTTTCATTTATTATTATAATTCAGTAGTGTACATGTTTGTGTTTTAGGTACAGGAACTATTATTGGCTTAAAACTTCAAGTAACTTAGACAGAGAAGACTAATTTTATGACTTATTATTCAGTTCGAATTTTTTTTTCTTCACTCTGTAGGGGTGTGTTGAGGACCCATCTGTGCCTACTTGGCTGTACTGAATTTCTGAGGATAGTAGTGGATATTATTTCATTGAGTTTCAGGGTAGTCTGAAAGCAGTAAATTTTTTATAGACCTGTTTTGTTTCTAATGTCATTAGCCTTTTTATAGTCTTTAAAATGGTGCAGGTGCTTTATTTTGTGAATTATATATCTTAATATTTCAAAATAACTAATATTCCAAACACTAGCTCAAAGTTATTTTTGGAGAACACTTACTTGTAAGCAATTGGTTGTCAGCCTCAGTTGAGGTGGAATGTTTGGTTTATCTATTAATGTATTATGATCTGTGTTAAAGCTTGGTTAAGGTGGACTTACCAGTTAAATACAAACACCACAGCTATCTAATCGCTACATTTTTTTCTTAAAATGCTCACTGAACTAACCAAAGGAATTTAACAGAAAAATTGAGAAGAACCCTGTTCTTAGGGATGTTGGGCTGTTTGTGATAGATACTAAAGGAGGAAAGTTGAAGTCTGATAAATGCCCATCCTAAACAAACTTCATCTTTTGGAGCTGGGACCAACAGTTCATCAGGTTTGTTCCTGTCCTAAGCTGTCCAATGCCAGATGGACACATGCAATGGGTTATGAAGGAAAGTTTATTTTACTTGATGAGCTCTACTACTCATCTCATAGCCTGTTGATTCAGTTGAGTATTAATTATTTCAAATGCTTGAGTCTGATTTTTTTTAGATTAGAAATGTTTGCATGTGTAGAAACAGATGTGTGACCTGTGCCTTAATATAAAATTCATTTTTTCACATGCATCCTAAATACACACATTCTGAATATAATTTTACATAAAATTTTTAATAGAATTGCATTTTGAATATAGTCAAATAGATTTAGGTATGAAATTTTACACTGTTGGTACCAGTATGTCTGTAAAACAGTTTTGTATTTTGGAGCCTTTTGAAAGTTAGAAATATTCAGCTTGTAGAGTTGTCCTAAATTTGCTTTTAAGTGATTTAAGTAATTTATAGCTTCTTTTGATTTAATTGTCAGCAGAAAGCTGTCTTTGAAAGAGGGAGAGAGAGAACTCTTATACAGACATAAGTAGCCTAGGAACTAAATTTGGTTATTTTGTTGGGAAAGTATAGTTTGTCTTAACAAACCTAGCTATTTATATCAGAACAGTTCAATTCAGACTTCTGGAATCTAGTTTGTTATCATCAATTTGACCATGTTTTCACATTAATAAGATTTATTACATGGTAGGAATTTTGCATCTTAGAAATTTATGCTGGTGGTTGCTGTTTCAGCAGTTAAGAATACTTGTTACTTAAGGGCCCGGGTTAGATTGTCAGATTCCCCCCCCCCCCATCCTCGTTGAGCTCTAGTCATGCACATGGCACACAGGTATATATTGCAGGCAAAACACTCATACACATAAAATTAAAAAGAAATAAATCTTTAAAAATTATCTATGCTCTATTATTTATGGTTAATGGAGAGAATAATTTTATTAGGTTCTGAGTTTTTTCATTTACCATTTAA